AGCCCCTGGACTGAGGTCAAACATTGCCATCGCTTTGCAGCCGACTGTAGATGACCTCAGTATAAGAGGGTCTATGCATAGATGTGACAAGTACCTGTCTTGGTTGTATATCAGTCTGATTGATTTAAACACTGAATGGTGTGTATGACCAATAATGTTTACAGTACTTTTCATTGCAGGTGCTGGTCACTGTAGCTGCTTCAACTTTGTATGTAGATGCACAAGGTCATTTTGTGAGACCTGGGCCTTCAATGCAATCAAAGAAATATAATCACATTCTGGGTCAAAACCTCCAGATTTTGTTGCTCAAAAGTTTAAAGTAGAATTTTGATAACTGATCCAAAAATTCTGAATAATCCTGATCCCTGCAGAGGGCTAGATTAGGTTAGACTTCAGAAACAAAATGAGATAAAGCTTTAAAAGTGATCAGATATTTCTTTTTTCACAATTCTGAACACAAAACTTGAAAGACTGTTTAAAACAAAAGTGTGAGGATCTATCAGTCTGTGTGGATTTGGGCAATAAATGTGTACTCTAAATTTAGAGCACTGGTAAACTGGATTTGTTATCTCAGAAAGTCTCATTCTTAGTGGTCTGGGTTCCATCCTAGTGTGCGAGATTAGATCTACAGCTCACAGTGGAAAAACACAATACCATATATTGTAACTGTAAAACACAAACCAAACCTACCAGTCCACCAAACATTACAGCTGACTTAACAGGAGATTGACGCTGAGATTGTGCAATCGTGCAGCCATTATCTTCCTCATAACCAGAGACACATTACCGGGCAACACGCAGCACAGAGCATCGAGTATACAAACCACAGCATTCAGATACACACACTTCAGCAGTCATTTTCTGCCTCTCTTCAAACACACACTAACAACAGGACTGTCAAACCACCAGGCATGCACACTCTGTTCCTCTGGTTACACAAAGCCACGCCCAGAGGCTTCAGAGACGGCCGACTGGCTTTTGTGGGTGTTGAAAAGTTCAAGTGGTCTTGAAGGAATTAGCCAACAGGCTGGGTTTACAGGTAGATCATCAGCTACCCCTTCTCCCACATCCATCATCCTGTAGCCTGTGATCCCCCTCGGGGCCAGTTCCCATGGCCTGTGCCAACCTGAGCATGCTTTGTGGGGTCTAGAGCTGAGACATAATTATAATGATAGTATAGGTGAGGCTGTATTACAGACATACTGCCTCTTCTCCACATCAAGCCTGATCATTTGTGTCCACAATGCAGGTGGAGCAGCGAACTCTGAGACACACTGACTGAAAATGCTTCCTCTGGAATTCTGGAAGGACCACAAAGATTTTCAAAAAATCTTTTTTTAAAGGTAGTGTGACTTTGAACAGTGATTAAAAATGAATTAAGCTGTCTTGATGAGGATGATGATGATTATGGGCCAACAAGAGCAGTAAAACATGATGAAACAGGCATGCTGCTTCTGCTAAGAGGTAAACTTCATAATGCATTGTAAAACATGGTGTACACTGCAAAGCCTCTCTGCATAACTAATCTTGTGTGCTGTGTGTTTGACTGTATTTCAGTCCAAAAACAATCAGAGGGATTAGTACAACTTCATCCTTCATTCAACCTTTCTATATGATTGAACCTCCTCAACGACAATCCCCTCCAAGTTTCCATGTTATACGTCTATAAGGAGCATATTTCACCATTTCTGCTATAGCTACATCCATGCTACAGCTAGATTACAGATGCTGATTACAGCAGGAGGATAGTTTTTTATTTTATTTACAAATTCTTTCATATTCTCTTCTTTAGTTCTCTTATTTCCAGTGTAACTTATCCCACATCTTTAAACCTAAAAAATTGAACTATCAGTATGCCCATTTCAGACATATGTCCTATGTCTTTTTTTCTACCATACCACATCTACAAACTCTTTCTCTTTTGGGAGTATTCAAATTTTTTCATTCATCATTGAGTTTTTTGCACTAACATAAAGTTATTCAGCCCTTATGGACATTTTCCACTCATGTGTATTATGCAGAGTGTAAAGCTTCAAAGTGAACAGTGATTTTATCAGAGTGGAAAGGATGCTGGAAATGTCTACAAAATATTCTAAAAACATTGCCTCTAAAACCACACACTTCCATCCACATACAAACAAGCCACCAAAAATTAAATAATTCTGTGCTGCTTGAGTCAAAAGGGGTATCAAAGAAAAATCCTGGATTCAATCCAGTACAACTTGAGCTGTCCCACAAAAGTCATCATCTGCTCTATTAACTATAGTGTAAGATGTTAGCAGAAATTTCCAGAACAGAAACAGAAAATGTGTACCTTTTTCTTTCACTGCCCCGGGCACATTCCTGGCAGTGCAGACTTAAAATTAACATGACATCTTCATCAGAGCCCTGGAATGTTCACAGGTTGATCCTTTTCTAATCGCAGTTACAGTTTGGCACAACAGCACAGGCTTAAGACAGTGGCTTCACCAAAAATCCAATTCAGAACCAAGTAACATGGAAATCATACCTCGGTCTGTGAAGATAGGCCCACATTGGGTAAAGGTATTCTATTATGGACAAGCACCAGTTAAGGGACAACACTGTGACAATAAGGAAGCAGAGGAAACTGCACCCAGTCCACAACACAGTCCAACCACTGAACACTCATTTAAGATCATAAGAGAGACCTATGAAAAGTATGTGGAAAAACCACTCTCCTCACCTGAGCATGCTACAGAGTCAGCTGAACTGAAAACAGTGGACTCTGAGATGGAGAACATCACCTCGCATGCTACAGGGTCAGCTGAACCAGAAGCAGTTGACTCCGAAATGGAGAACATCACTTCTCATACTACAGAGGAAAAAAACGTGATGAGTCTGGAGATGTCAGTGCTGAAGACCTTACTGCAGCTACAAACACCCCAACCAAGAAGAAAAATAAACACAAGAAAAAAAAAAAGAAATCAAGGAAGCAACTGAAATAAATGGAAACACACCCATAAACTGTGTGAAAGAGAGATCCAAAGATACCACCAGATGAACCGTGGATGGTCAAACTCACTTGGAAGAGTAACAAATGTGGATACATCGTCAATTAAATCTTACTTCCAGACAGTATCACTCCTCATGATACATATTTTAATCATGGTTATACTTATAACATAGATATTCTATGAGGGTATAATTTTTTTTTTTCCACTAAAATATGGCTTTGGACAGACTGTGTGTCCTCTCCCTGAATGTTAGGGGGCTTCAAAATGATAATAAAAGAGCCCAAGTTTTTTCCTGGATCAGAAAACAACATGCAAGTATTATAATGCTACAAGAAACATATTTTACTAATGATCTAATCAAAAAAGTGGATAAGGAATGGAAAGGAAAAGCTGTGCATAATATTGGAACAAACCACAGTAGGGGTGTAAGTATTCTATTTGACCCTAAACTGAACAATATCGAATTGAAAGAGTTGAAGGATGATCTTGGGAGAAAAATATGTGTCAATTGTAAGATTGCCGACAAAGCATATTCATTTCTTAACATTTATGCCCCTAATGTGTGTGGCGATAGGATCATCTTTTTAAATGAACTGTCCAGGTGGCTTACTGGTATTGACATACATGACATAATTTTAGGTGGGGATTGGAACACTGTCTTGAATTTGGAGATGGATAAAGGCCCCCCATTAACCCACTCACCAGTGTATTATCGTAAAGCAGCTGAGGTAATTGGTAATTTGTGTAAAAACTTCCAACTATATGATGTATGGAGAGAGAAATATTTAGGACTAAAGCAGTTTATATGGAGACGTAAGAATCCAGAAACAGCTCGTAGATTGGATTTCTTTCTAATTCATCAAGAGAACAGAATGTGGTAAATGCAGAAATTAAAGTTGCTATAAGAACAGATCACCAGGCTATTATGTTGATAATAACATTGGAGCACTCAATTTGAGGCCCAGGTATTTGGCACTTTAACAACAGCCTCTGTGAAGACAAAATATATAGGAATACTCTGATCACAATTATTGAAGAATGACAAAATTATTTCAGTGGTCAGGATCATAGAACATTTTGGGATCTGTGTAAACTCAGGATTAAAAAACAAAAAAATATTGTCAGAATAAAGCTAGAATTAGAGCTGAACGCTTGACTACCTTAGTCTCCGTGACTTAGAAAGAAAAGTAGATCATGAACCAAATAGGGAAAACATGGAAAAATACGATGAAGCAAAAAAACAGAGAGACCAATTATATGCATATTACACTGAAGGGGCAAAGATTCGTTTAAAAGTGAAACACTATGTTGATGGAGAAAAATCCAGGAAGTATTTCCTCAATTTAGAGAAATCAAACAACAAAAAGCATACTATAAGTAGCCTGAGAGTTGGTGGTGAAGTATTCTGCCACACTGCTGACATCCTCTGTGAAGCTAGGAAGTTCTATCAGCAGCTCTATAAAACACATGAGGTAAATCCCGAAACGGTAGACTGTTTTCTGAGAAGTATTAACATAGACCATACTCTATCTGAGGAAGCAAAACAGCTACTCGATGAACCACAGATGGATAAAGAGTTTTCGGATGCTGTAAAGAATCTGAAGACTGGCAAACCAGGTACTGATGGAATTACATCAGAATTCTATCAGTGCTATTGGGATATTGTAGGAGTGTTTGTTATTAACTCAATCAGGGAAGGTCTTGCACATGAACAGCTGGCAGACTCCCATATAAAAAAGGAGACAACCAACTATTAGATAACAGGAGACCTATAAGTCTTTTAAACACAGATTTTAAAATACTCGCCCATGTGCTAGCCAATCGGTTAAAGCCACGGTTACTATACCTAATCAATGAGAATCAAACTGCCTATGTAAAAGGCAGATTCATTGGACAAAACGTACGCCTTATTACAGATGCTATTGACTATACAGATGAAATGCAAATTCCTGGTATAGTTCTCTTTATAGACTTTCAAAAGGCATTTGATAGTGTAGAGTGGGTCTTTTTATTTAAAGCACTAAAGAAATTCAACTTTGGGAGTATGTTTCTAAGATGGATTCAAACTATTCATACAAGCTGTAGTAGTGCAGTAGTCAACAATGGATGGACATCAGAATTCTTTGACCTTAGTTGGGGAATTAGGCAAGGTTGCCCTTTGGTATCAATTTGTCAGATGGAAGTACTACCCATGAGGTTAAAACCTCACAAGTAGCAGATGATACTACTCTACTGCTTGGTGACGAAAGGTCATTAACTACAGCACTAGAAATGATATAATCTTTTGGCAAAGTTGCAGGCCCTGAATTGAACTTAAAGAAAACCGAAGCAATTTGGGTTGGTTGCTGGAAATTTAGGCCAAAAGAAATCAGTGGAATAAGGTGGCCAACTGGTCCTGTAAAATCACTTGGTGTATATTTTGGGTTTAACAAACTTTCATGTGAGACGAACCTATGGAATGAGAAAATCAATAATATAGAAAATGTTTTAAATCTATGGAGACAAAGGAATCTCACATTATATGGCAAAGTAACTATTCTGAAATCATTGATTGCAGTTAAAGTTCTGTACTGGGCTACTGTGTGTGATGTGCCAAATAATGTGACTGTCAGGCTGAATACTTTGTTTTTTTTACTTTCTTTGGTCTGGAAAGAGAGATAAAATCAAAAGATCTGTTATTTTTGGAGATTCTAATACAGGGGGTATAAAAATGTTGGATATTCAATCTCATATAGAAGCACTTCATGCTGGCTGGGTGAAGCGCATCATGGATACATCATCAGGAGATTGGAAACTGCTACCCAAATTGTATTTAAATAGACTAGGTAAAGATTTCCTTATCTTAAGAATGCACTCTAGAGCACTCTAGAGGGAAGTCCCTTTTCTGTAAACATTGGATTGAGGCATAGTTTATCTTAAAGATCTATCTGTAAAGGAAAAACCAAAGCTTCAAAACTGGATAAGAGAAATTAGCAAATTATTTATCATCAGAAAGGCAATTCCCAAAAAATGGCTCCCACTTCTGAACAACAGTATAACATTAAGAGATAACAATACTGATGCACACATTGCTCCGACAGGCTATACTTGCAAGATAATCTATGAGCTGTTGTTAAAAGAAAAAATAAAGACATCATATATGCAGACATATTGGGATGCTGCACTAGCTGACCAAACAAACAACATCATGTGGAGCAATGTATGGCAGAGACAAACAATAACACTACTCTATGTGCTGTTTGTTTGGTAAAAGAAGATACAGAACATATGTTTGTTTCATGTCGTTGTCTGGGTACCAGGTTTCTGCACTTATGTCTCAGTTCAATATCACCTTTAGAGTAGAACTGTCAAATATTATTTTGGGTCTCACCACATCAGCAAGTAACAGATATTGTACAAATCTGACTCTAACAATAGCAAAACTGTCCATCTTTAAAATCTGGATGAGATATAAAGATGATCAACAAAGGTTTTCTACAGCAAACAGGGTATCTGTCTTTCTTTTGAAGCTGAGGTCAAGAATAAAAATGGACTTTTTGGTGGATGAGTCTAGAGGTAATTAAACCTGGGCAAACTTATTGTGGTTGTTGGACAGAACATATAGAAAAGGTTACCTTACCTATATTCTCTTTTTCTCTCTCTTTCCTCTGTATGTATACACTCCATCTATTTGTATATACATGATGTGTGAGTTTTTTTATGCATCCTTTTTATACACTGTTTTGTAATGTGAACCTCCAAATAAATTATTTATAAAAAAAAAAAAACATGGAAATCAGACAGGTGTTACATTACCATGGCAACATTTGATTACAGCTGGAGACACATAAGCGATTGAGATGACCCCAGTGCTGGCTGACACACACAGGACTGACATCCTCACTTCTTTATACATTTCCAATTCATATTCAATTCCTTCAAACCAGCATACGCAGTTTAGCTCATTCAGCATGCAGCATTTACAAGCCATTTTCTTCAGAAATTGCAGTTTCCAGTTGGAAACCAGCTGGCCAATATATCTGCTTTGCGAGGTTGAGGAAGTTTTAGTTTTCATCAATCTGGGCGCTCCCTGTGGAAAAAATGTTAAGATTTATCTTCTTGCTGATCTTAACTTGTACACAATGCATTTCCTGATACATAACCTCATCCTGCTTCCTATTAAGCGGTCACATCACATGATTTCTGCAGGGTATTGTAACACACTGTGTCAGGACATCAATCTGGCTGTACAGGTTACAGAGATTAGAAAATATGATACAAAAGTGATCAATATTGCTTGTGTAATTAGCCCACAGTTTAGCTAGAAATCTGGGTGTAGTCATTGACCCTAACCTGAGGTTAATGAGCCTTCAGTTCCAGCCTACTTTCACCACAAGAATATTTAAAAGGATTTTAAGACTTATGTCTCAGCAGGACCTGAAAAAAATTTGCGTGGCCTGACCCAGCTATGAAAAATCAGAGCTTTAAAAAACTCTTCAAATATGACTAAAATTGAAGGACTGTCCAACAAAGGATGTGTTAAAAAGAGGAAGGTCAAAAAGCAACAAGGTCAAAGAGAACAAGGTTTCAAAAGGTTTAATGGGATGATGAAGCACTGATATGTAACAGGTTCAGAACACTGAGTCTTAATCTTTCATACATGGCTCTGAAGATGAACTGCTCTGTAACCAGTTTGTGCTTTATCAAATATAATTTACAGGCAGTAAATATACTAAAAGGCACCACAGGGCACAGGTGTCCTCATAAGTCTGTGCTTGTTTAGTACAAAAATGTGCTTGTTTGGATAAAAAAAGGAAACAATGTCCATATTCAAAAAACAATGTTTATACTTTCTATTTACAGTGTACAAATTTACATCAAAGCTTTTTTTCCACCAAAAAGAGGGGCGTTCAAGTCCATAAAAAGTCTCTTACATTGTGGATGACCCTAGAGGGGAGTAATAAAAAGTGGCACCAAAGTCATCTCTGTACAGTTCTGGTTGTCTCTCTGTTTGTTAGCAGGGAGCTGAGGCACACTGTGAGCCAGCAGGCTGAGGACAGTCTTTGTTTCTGTGCTCCGTCAGTTTGAGGATGACGACTTTCCTCTGGAGCTGCTTCGCCTCTGGCCGTTCAGGCTGTTCAGGCTGGTCGGGCTGTTCAGCTGTCGGCGTCACTGGGCTGTCGACAACTAAGTCCTGGCTGTCCTGTGGAAACATCATCATGGTGATGATGTTTGAGTATCCGCCCTGCACCGCCAGGTGTAACTGGCTCAGACCCTGCTCGTCTGACAGAGTGTCACCCCCTGGACAGTGGAGGAGCAGCTCTTTCAGGACTTCACAGTGTCCATTCTCTGCTGCGAGGTGGCAGGGGGTACGTGAGGCCTGGTTGGGTCTTTGGGGGTCAGCTCCTTCCTCTATCAACATTTTGACTGTGGCTAAGTGGCCCTTCTTTGAAGCCAGGTGAAGAGGAGTAAGTCCTTGCGCATTCTGGGCATGGATGTCCGCCTGGTGTTTGATCAGGAGGCGAGAGGTGCTGGTGTGACCGGTCTCTGCCGCCACGTGCAAAGGCGTATTTAACCCAGTGGACATTCTGTGAATATTGGCTCCAAGTTCAATCAGGATCCTCGCCACTCTGTACTGCCCCCTATGTGATGCAAGGTGGAGAGGTGTCCTCCCGTCTGTCGTCTGCCCGTTAACATCAGCGCCTGCTTGCTTCACCAGCAGCTTCACGATGCCTAGGTGCCCCTGCCAGGCTGCCAAGTGAAGCGCCGTCCAGTTGTCCTTGCCCTTGATTCGAACATCTGCACCGCGGCTAAGCAGCACCCGGATCACATTTTCCTGTCCATGCTGGCACGCTACATGAGCTGGTGTGCGTCCCTGACCATCTGCCTCATTGATGGATGCCCCACGATCCAGCAGCAGGCGTGTGATAGCCTCATCACCATTCTGAGCAGCCCAGTGTAGAGCTGTGTATTGATCCTCGTCCTTGGCGTTGATGTTGGTGCTGCGGCGACCGAGCAGGAGTTCTGCCAGCGGCTTCAGGTGGCGCTCTGTGGCCAGGTGCAGGGGAGTGGAGCCCCTGGTGTTTGCGAGGTTGGGGTTGGCATTGTTTAGGAGAAGAAACTTGACAGCCTCTTCATTGGACAAGGTGATGGCGTGGTGCAGTAGACTGCCTCCACCGTCCAGGAGGAGATCGACATCCTGAGGCTGTAGGATCTTCATCAGCTTGGCAGTGTCTTTGGTTCTGATGGCCTCACAAAGCTTCCTCTTCTGGACTTCAGTTGAGTCTGATGAAACAGGAGAAAAAGGGTATGAGGCAACTGTTTTTGGATAGACAGAAATGATAACCACAGCAGTGGGTTTTTATCCAGCTCTTACCACACGTGCTCTCCTTCTCAAAAGACAGAGTGATGGAGTCCTGAGAGGAGAAGGCTGAATCAGCTGAAGAGATGCCAGACAGTCTCTTGCTTGTGTTTTCTTTACTATGGCAGCTTTCCTCCTTCACACGATCAAAGCTCCGAGATATCCCAGAGTCCACCTGGCTCAGCAGCTCAGACAGGCTGTAGTCTTTTTCTGGCAACATGGCTGACTTTGGACGCACCGGCTTGTTGTCTCGAACCTGAAAAGCAAAGACAAGGTGATAAGACTGCTTGTATGCTGCAAATCATCAGGTACTGACAGTATTAAAGAGTTTTGCCCATGTCCAATAATCTTTTTTTAATTGTTAGCATTATTTTAAATTTGAACAGGGATGTTAAATTGAAAAATAATTGTCAAAATTTTTAATTTCTGTGAATTTTAGTGTCCTATAATGCTGTCATTTTTGTCTCTCACTACAGAAACACAGCACTGTCGCAGCAGACAAAGACTGAACGGAGGAGTCCAGTGATATGGTGTGAACTGAACGTCTTGACTGAACCAAATGTTGCAATACGAACTAAAAACTGTCAGGAAGCTGAAAGCTGATGAAGCTGGTTTTTGCTGAGCAAGATGACCTGAATTACAAAAAAAAACCTGAATTCCTTTCATACAGCGCATTTATATGCAAAGTTCAGCGCCACAACTGGAATGCGATATTACTTTGTAAATTTGGTCAATCCTAGACCCTATTATGCAAGTTTAGTTTGGGTCAGATTGGAGAATGCATGGCAGAGAAAAAAAAACTACCTCCTGTCTGATGGTTAAAGACCGAAGGTCTTGCAAAGGGCACCGCCTTTTACTTATTTGTGTCTTCTACCTGTAAACCGCAGATTGGATGAATGCTGCATGAGAAGAAACTCATCAGAACCCTAGTAATGGCCCAAAAACTGTTGATTTTTGAAAAAAACTGACATCCCGCATCAATTCCTTTTTTAAGTGTCAGGGAACTGCATATATGTAGAATAAAATCTGCTTTTTATGCTAAAACTGCTGGAGCTGGATTTTCAAAAATTGTTAGGGGGTGATAGTGAGCAAATTCTGAACGCCAGTGTTCAAAACTGTTAAAACCACCTTAGCGGTGCTTGGCCCCGAATAATTTTAACTAGCAAACAACTGAGTTAGCCATTTGGCTGTGGTATTAGCAACTTAGCTAATGGTGTTAAAGATGGAAATAGGGGCAGAACGAGCCATAATGCTAGCTAGCAAGCAGTTGACTTTGTGACTTGATGGTAATTTGAGCTATCTGGCTAATTTTACAGTTTAATTGTGTAACATTGTAGCCTACATTTTAAACTTGCAGTAATATCAGCAAGTAAACTGTAGAGTTAGCTAGACATTGGTTATGTGCTAACATTAGGTGTTGGTAATTAGTTAAAAAATGATGGTGCCTTTTGGATTAAATTTGGTCATAAATCCTCCAGGTTTTCAGAGGAGACTGTGCTCCATGTAGCTGCTCTTAGTGGTGAAATGGTTTACTGAATGTTGGCAGTTTCTATCTCCTGGACTTCAGTTTGCTGTCAATGTTTCCTTGAACACAAACAGAAGCTCAACACAGCCTGTTATTCAAAAACAGCTGTCACCTATCATGAGCAGTAAAACTTCTGTTTCCAGTCACGTACATGTTGGTGAAGACGGAAATGACAAAGCAGAACACAAGTTCAACAATCCCATCGGTCAACATTCCTCTTTTGTTATGCAAGTGCTGACTGGGGATCAAATATTTACACAACATATGACTTAAAAAGGTCATTAACATGTCTGGAGCACTTCAGAGATAAGCTCCTATTTTACCAGGGTGGGAAGCAACATATTGAGAGATTCTGGTCTGTTTTAAAGATATCATGAGGAATAAATGGCAATTATAAATGGTTCACTGCTGACAAATTTTTTAGTCATTTTTAAATAGGAAGGTTAATATGGTCCATTGAGATCAGAAAGCCTTTAGATAGGTAAGTCAAACTTGTAGTTAGGCCTTCTAGAAGAGCCTAGATTATTACATCACACAGTGTTTGTCATACCTGGTCACTTGTGAGTGCTCTTGGGGATGTAGGCTCTGGCTCAGATGTTGATAAAGTGGGTGTTTTGGGCTCTTCTTGAGGTTTTGAGCAGAGTTCCTCAGCTTCAGAGGTGATTTCTGAAAAGACAACAGCTCAGGTCAGGTTTCGGGATCAACAGGGGTTAGATAAGAGAAACAAAAGGGGAGAAAAGCTGCTTAAAAGCAGGAAGAAATCCTGATTCAACAGACCCCCACATTTTAATGCTGTAAGTTCTGAGGATATGTTAAAGATCAAGTTACGTTGGAGATGTGCTGAAATAGAGAGGCATGGTTTACCCTGGAAGCTTGGTCTGGCATCAGGTTTGGTGGCCCAGCAGCGCTGCATAAGACTCAGAAATCCTGCACAGGCTGAGGGTCTTGATCTAGGTATTGCTCCAAGGTCTGGTCGGACCCCCTTCACAACCTTCACCATTATCTGAAGGATGTTATTCTCTCCTAGAAGAAGATAAGTCACATGGCTCAGTTTCATAACTCTGAACGGGTGTTTTAATACTTCACTTCATCTCTTGCTAACTATCACTCAATACCTTTTGTTAAAGTTAAATTAAATCATGCTAATCACCAGTTTTCGATTATGAAACATCCAGAACCTTTGAATAGATCCAATTAGTAAACTTGTGAAAGTTAATTAACTAATTCTCAAATGCTATCTTAAACTGTAACTGGTCTGAAATTACTGAATGACTGAATGATGGTACAGGCAAAGTTTTTCATTCACACATCAGGTCTTTCTCACCTCGTAAAGCCTGAAATTAAGCACTAAAACACTATATATATATATATATATATATAACAGAATAAAAGCATGACAAACAATGGTTTTGTTATCTAATGTCTTAACCAATGAAGTTTCAGACAGAGTGATGATGTGGATTAATCACTCATTTGAACGTCATTAGAAATGGATGATGACGTGTAAGTTCATCGAATTACTCAGTAAAGTTAATGAAGTAATGTGTTGCTCTACATTTGTCCTGCTTTACCTCAGTATGACTGAGGTTGTTTTATATTTCTAGGCTTTCCATAATGTTGCAATGATATCACTATCAATGATGATGAGGTGAAAACCTTAAGCCCTGACAGCCCCGGCTCAGTTCAGTCAGTTATGCCAAATATATTACCATCCTCCCGTGAGCTCAGATAAAGGAGTGGGTGCTGCTGTTTCCCATGAAGCAGCAGGTAAAAGCTTGAACAGCTCCTGACCTCTTTGTCAGAGTGTGGGATCAGCCTAGTCAATGATTCAGAACAAACAGGTAGAGGCCTTAATCACTGGTACTTCACCTCCTATTGTAGCCTTAATACCCTCTGCAGGTGGAGGTGGAAGATAGAAAGGGGTGGTAGCAGGGTCATCCCTAACATCTTAATTATGTCTAGATCAACATGGGCGGTGCCAATGCCAACCTGGAAAACCCTGATCCAGACTGTGGTCCTTAAAAAAAAAAGAATTAAATACCCTGAAGTGAACTGCTATCTGATACGCCTGGGAAAAAACACACTCTGTTTGCCAGTCTGGCCCTGTTCAGCTGCACGCTCAGGAATTCACAGAACAAACAAATACACTCAAGCACCTGTATGTACACACACACACACACACACACACACACACACACACACACACACACACACACACACACACACACACACACCTCGGGATGTGTCTTTACTGGAAAGTAAAGACTGTCAGGGAAACACTAAAAATAAATGGAAAACAGGGAGGGAGTAAACAATAAGATTTAAAGATCATATTTATGAATTATGAAGTAAAATATGAATTATTCAATGTAGAGAATAAGAAAAGTCCATCAGCTTAAGTGGGATGGGAGTTATTGTTTAGGATATTTTGTGTTGAGTACTGATACCAATAAAAGCATTACAACATATATTATATTAATGTATTTTATTGAAGTCTCAGTGAGGAGTTTTTAGCTGGTAAAGAAATAGACTTAAAGAAATGTTGATGCCTCTTTATGAGCTGCAGAAGCAAACCAGACCATGAGGGAGAAGATTACATGCATTTTTAAAATGTTTCTAACTGCTATGAGGGGGTAGCTTTCAAACTAAAAAGAGCCTTAATGTACATTTTCCAAGAGTAAGTGTCCCACTGCATGATACACTTTAAGGTTAAAAGACAAAAGGGTCGTTTTTCTGTCAAAAAAAAACAAAAGACAAAAAAACATGACTTCACATGTGGAGGAAAATTTTAGCAACTTTTTCCACAGTGGACGCCATGATCAACAGTTATCAAAAGTTCCTCTAAGGAGCTTTAACTACTGGGTGAACAGTGTGACAGTCTCAGTTTTCAATGGTTGGTCTCTTACCAAAGCTGTCCCCAGAAATACCCCTGACTTTAACTAACTGCATGGAGGACACGTGTTGATGTCTCAGTCACATTGGGCTTGTTTTGACAGCAACAGAGGGTACTTGGTAATGGCTCAAATATTTAGCCTAGTCATAAAGCAACTTCATATCATTCCTCTAGTTTGTCTTCTTCTTCTAAGAAAAACTTTGTTTTGGAATGCGAATAGCTTCATTTTATTATTAGTTTTTATTTTCTATTGTTAACAAGCAGCTCTTACTCGCAGAAGTTCCAGTTTGATTCCAGACATGATCTGATATTAGTAACTTTGTTTACATGCACACCATATTCTTGTATTAATCATAATAGTAGCAAAAAAGACCCCAGGGAACTGCCTGTATTAATATCAGGTCATATAAATACATTTGCAGTCCCCTCATGGAACTACAACTGCACATGTTCAGACATGGTAAGAAGCGTGGGCAAAGGTTTGCATTTCCGAGGTGGGAATGACACAAATCTACTGATTCAATTTATGAAAGATTTGAATATAATGAAATTTATAAATAGGCAAAACCACCACAATATAACAAACATATCAAAGAATATAATCAAAACGATATTACTTAATGACAAGATAAACTAACATGTAATAATATAAGTACATCATCTCTTTGCTGTTTCCTCATGTCTTCTGCCATTGTTCGGTGAGAATGAGGGTTTTCATCAGATTGAGGCACATAACTGCTACAAAAACATTGCACTATAGTTCTAAAGCAGGCAGTCTGAGAACACAGTATTGCGTTGTTTGCAACAGAAAAATGTTAGATGTATTCAGACAACATGATGTTATGATTGCTACCATAACAACTAATTGCTGGTTAATTTGTTTATGCTGATCAAACAGAAATTTTCCTGCAGCTCAACACTCTGTTAGAACACAAAAACACCTTATCTAGAATACTGTCTTAACCAGAATATGGTCAGAATACATACTGTGCATGTAAACATAGTCAGTGTGTGGCTAACTGTACATGTGACGGGAAACACTAGGGAGGTATGGGAGATGTTAAGTCACACTGCTGATTTGATTTTTCACTGCGGCTCCTTGGTTTGAGTATCTTTGAATTTCTGTTCAAAATCAAAAAGAAAAACAACCCAAAAGAAATCCTCAGTCATTTTCAAAGTCTCACCTTGGTATGGTTTCTTCTGTGTGAGGATCCCCCAGATGACAATGGAGAAGCTGGAATAGAGGAGGAACAAAAACTTAGAAAATATCAGGAGAAGGGAAATATGAATACATATAATTTCAGGAAACAGGCATATCTATGTTTTATCTAAGTACCTTTGCTTACCATTAAAAATGTCAACCCTCACATTGTCTTTAAAAACTAGTGCTGTTATTTTGTATTCACATCGAATGTGAATACATTTTTTCATGTGGGTGAATTATATGTTTTGTATATGGAAAGACTCCTTAAGATCTGAGTTCTTCTCCGGCAATTGGCAACAGTGTTTAAATGTTTTAAGCTAACTGTTACTCCCTTATTTGATTAAAAACAGCTATTTTGATAATCAAGTGACCTAGTTAAACATATGCAGAAATATTTGCCAACTTCATGCTGCAACTTTAAGTTATCTGTTGTACCCAAACATAACACAGAATTAACTGGTTACCTGAACACAACATCAGATTAGTTATAAGTACATATTTCTATGATGTGTGAATTGAGCTCTGGAATAAGTACAACTTCTATGTTTTGTGGACACTTGAAGAACATTAAAATGATTTGTCTTTGTGTTGTTGACCAAATGTGCGGAAGTAGGTAAAGCAAAAACTATTATAATCACAAAATTGTTGCGTGAGAACATCTAAAACCCCTCACCTGTACACATCATGCTTGGTGTCCGACACCCGGTCCTTCTCGATGATACTCTCAGGTGGCAAGTAGGCGATGGTACCACAGAAGCCGTCTCTGCTGATGTCATCAGCCCGAGACAGACCATTCCAGCGAGCCAGGCCAAAATCAGAAATCTGGGACAGACAGAGAGAAATAGAGAAATCAGATAAGATGATCAAACAGATGTCTTCTTTTCTCTAGTAGCAGCGTGACAGCGGTGACTCACTCTGCCCCGTGAGTGTGACATGCTGCTAAACCCTCATTATGAGCACTGTATGAGGGCAACGCTGCCATGTCTCAGCCTGCAGCAGAGGAGAGGCCTTCACGTTAAACAGAGCACACACCCACACACAAACACACGCACACAGTGACAGGAGGGAAAATCAATCCTGTCCAGACAGGCCCAGGTGAGGTGTTTACATCCAGGTATTAAACTCCAAAGATGGAGGTTTCCGCCCCTCGCTTTCAGTACTGAGGAGCTGCTGAGAGGTTGAACAGCAAGGAGACAGCTGTCAGCTTTGAATGTCAGAGAGTCAGAGGAAGGCCAAATAACTACCTCCACTCTGAAATTTCTCTAAAACTGCTAATGACTTTGAAAAAGAGACTGTTTTACAGCAACTAAAACAGTCATACCAGCTTCCTTACCAGTCACCCAACAGCCACCTGATTCTGACCGATCAAAACCCTTGACAGACATCATCCATTCTGACTGATTTCTGTTATGGCTACTTTCCAGTGGATTACACAGAATAAAAAATTTAAATAAATTGTTTGGAAAGGTCTGCACGGAGATATCCCAGCCGGCAAAATCCTCTAAGAGAAGTGGTTTCTCAGCTGGTTTTCAGTCAAATCCATTATTGTTCTTTCTAGTGAGAACACACTCAACCATAAAAAAAGGATCAAAAGCTGCTTGACACAACACACTCATAGTAGTAGGCAAGTACAGATACAGTTATACAGCTACAGGCAATTTCAACTGATATTTAGCATGGCAGTAGTGATAGTAGTGTGATGGGTTAACATTACTCACATCATTACTCTCCATCTTTTTAATAACAGCTGGAGAACCGGTGTTAGGATTTGATCAAACTCATTGATTTAGAGAGAATTTGCTCTGCTAATAAGTTGAACCTCCATTTTAGCCGAGCTGCTCCCATACTGCTGTAGGAGTCTGTTGAAAGCTGTTCGACACAGGTTAAGTAGATCGCTATCAGTTTCTCTCCTTCAAATGCTGACCAAACACCCTGTCTCCCGTCATTGTATGAATTTGAAGCCAAATTACTCTCGGTAGTTCCGGGATTGCTCTATTTCCTGAAACCAGCATTTGCGCAGTAGCGTTCAGTGGGAGAGTCGCTGTGATGACGCTCTGCTTGAACGACAACAACCCAAACAGGTTGATGTTGATGTTATGGAGTAAACAGTGACCCTGTCAAGTGGTGACATTCAGCCAAATGGGTAGCCATGAAATGCCTTTAGTACTGTAATAAAGTAATAATTATACACATTATTAATGAAGAAAAAAAAAAAGGAAAAAAAAAAAAGATCTACCAGGACTCTTTCATTGTTTCAGTGGTTGCTGTAACCATGAGTACTGCTGACACTTTTGATTGCCAGATTACTAATTAAATTAAATTGTAACACCAGCTCTTCTCATCTACGCTAGGTTTTCCTTTCACCTGTGCTGTTTTTTTCCTTATTTTACAGAGTGACATTACACAAATCTGACAAAGACCACCATAACAATTCAAGTACATACGTTACAATGTTACAGTAAGTTGCAATGTCATTTAGCAGACGCTCTTATCCAAAGCGACATGCATACACCAGCAAAGGACATACACTGGGAGCAAGGTGGGTCAAGTGTCTTGCTCAAGGATACAACAGACAGACTAGGGATAGGGGGGACTCGAACTGCCAACCTTCCAGTTGTTGGAGGACCGCTCTACCTGCTAAGTTATGTATACTTATATACATTATATACATACACGTAGAGGCCAACACAAATATACAGGGGGAATAACTAATTTTTGAAAAATGTATTCAAAGTTCCACAAATATCTAATTCTTTTAAGCTCTTCCCCCTTTTTGCCCATGTAGCGGGTGCACATAACAGTTTATTTCTATTCTGAATGGCTGAACACTTGGTATGGTCAATGGGTTCAAATTATACTATATAATTATATATTATAATTTACTTTTTCATTGCCACATAGGAATACACAGTCCTTTTCATTTAATCAAACTTTACCTACACAGTTGGAAAATGAGACTGTGATGTGAGGATGCAAAGACAGCCCTGTAATGGTATGTGTTCTGGCCAGCTTCAGGTGCAAGAGAAAAAAACTGACAATTTCATCATTTATAAAATCTGAATAGAGAAAAAGCAAATGCCACAGGTGTGAAAAAAGAAAAACAGCCCTAGATTGTGGTTTACAGCTGACCAGAGAAACAAGACTCAAGGAGATAAAAATGAAAATCAGTAAGGGATGTGACAACAGGAGGTGTTATTTTCTGCATCTGATTGGAGTGGCAACAGAAAATTGCACATTTAGTCTGAATTGTGGATAAAAATGTCAGATCCAATGTTAATTTACGACAGCAAAGCAGGTAAAAGTTTACATTTTAATGAACTTTGAGATCTGTGTTACTTTTGACTTGCTGGTAGGTCCTTATGCAACAATCCTTTCAGGGTGGGACTCCTCACATGCTCACAGTACACTCACCCTCACTTAATTTTCCAGATAATTACTTATTCAACTGCTGTCTCTGAGAAAAAAAAAAAAAGACTGCAGCAATTAGCTGAAAGCAGCCAATCCCGGTTCTAAGAATAGGTTTTAAGAATAGGTTTTAAGAATAGGTTTTAAGAATATTCCAGAGCCTACCAAGCCTTAATAATCTACACATCTAAATCTAAATATATTCTCATTTCATACCCAATGATCCTATGGATCATTAGGACCAAAATTCATCCACATAGATCTAACATTTTTTTAAGAAACATAGCAAATTTGGCCTCATACTTATTGTAAAACTTTTTGAATAGTTTAATTTGCTGAAAGTACACTTACAAAAGTGAGTCCCAGCTCAGTAATCTGACTGGGCAGCACATTTTTCCATTGGTATTTTCAATTTTCAGATCTTTTTTTTTTTTTTTTTTTTTCACCAAGGAGTTTAGGGAATCAAAAATCTTTCACTGAAGATCTTCATGAGACCTGGTCAAGTTAGCAGCCACACAGTCGCAAACCCATCAAAACAACAACAGAAACAACAACACAACATGGAGAAATCTATTGGCATTTTGCTTTTAAATGAACCACAGCAGTGCAGATATTCAGAACATCATCACGTCTTCGGAGTCATCTCGACCACCTGCAGCACCTTTAGGCCAAACATCAGGCTGCTGCCCACACTTTTAGTAAGCGTGTCTCTGACAGTCAAGACTATTTCTGCCTCATTCCTGAACTGAAATCAAAACCTCTGTGTTTTCTCAAGTGTATCAATAGCTGTTGTGTGTTTATGAGTGTGTGTATTGCTTTACTGGTTGTATGTGATCAAATAAATTAAAATGTCAAGGTCATCAAGTACAGTAAGTGGATCAAAAAGTGTTTTTCATAATTTCAGATCACATAAATAATTCTGTGAGAAGGGCAGTAACTGAGAGTGGCAAAAGTCTCTCCTTCACTTTGTGAGTGGTATATTGGTATTTTTCTTGAGGTACTTTGAAAGCCATACCCTTCACTGACACCTTCCACCCTAATCCAGTTTCAGGCATAAAAAGTTACAATATACTAACTTTTAGTCTTGTTTTGTTTTTGGAGGTCATGGAAAAGCATCAATAAAAACTTTAGTCATTTTCCATCAGCAAAAAAAGTCCTCACAAAAGCTTTAAACTGCATTTGAAATATAACGTTTCTAGTTTTGTTGGAATATTTAACTTGCAAGTTGTCCCTTGTGCCACACAGTCCCATTCAGCAGTTTCTTTGTTATGTTGTTGATGGCAGATCTAATGCAGTTTTGCATCTATTATGAACAGAAACCACAAGTATTTATCTGTCATTACCAATTTTGGCAACACAACAGAAAACAAAGAAAAAGGTGGAAAATGTTGGCGTTAATGACCCTAAAACAGAGATAAGAAATAACTGTCTGTAAAAATGCTCAAAGGGGACTAAAAATGTTTTACACCCATAGATTGAGACTATATTTCAGAGTAGGTGTGAAGTAAAGCTGCATCTCTATACCTTGACATGGTAGTGAGCATCAAGGAGGATATTTGCAGGCTTCAGGTCCAGGTGGAGCAGTGGAGGGTTCATACAGTGCAGAAAGTTCATCCCCACAGCAGTCTCATGAATGATGCGGAAGCGGAGCTCCCACGGCAGTGGCTCAGTGGCCAGCAGGGTCTCCAGGGAGCCAGTCTCCATGTACTCCATGACCAGGCCCTGAGGGTCCTCACAGATACCGTACACAGGCAGGATGTATCTGAACTTAGCTGCCTCCATCTTTTTAGCCTCCTCCAGCAGCTCAGAGCGCTCCCTGCAAATAAGAGATACGGGGTTATGCGAGTCAGAGAAATTTAAAAGGTACAAAAAAGAACAGTTTTTTGTCATAAGTTACCCTCCTCCTGCCCCCCTCTTTTATTCCTAATAATATTTCAAGAAACAATTACTTTAAAATTAAGGCAAATAGCAGAAGCTTAAACTAACATTTGTATCAATAGCTAGCAGAAAGACTTGTGGTTGAAAAGGAAGTAAGTTTGACTGGAAGCAGGTGAGAAAATGAATCTACTTCTCATCTAATTCATCCCAAAGATTGTTTCCCAAAGAGTTCACGATCTGAAATTCTTGTTTAAATTTATCTTCATCACAGTTTAAAGTCTCTACTTGAAGGGCGGACTCATGTAGAGTACAGTCATTAATCGAACAAAGCAAAATGTACAGATTGGCTACCTGTGACTGACCAATAAAGAAGCTTATTTTTAGGACACTACTGTGGACCTGCGGGTCAACTGCAAGACAATTACAAGAACATCATAAACACTTTGAATGCCAGGAACATTTCGCCTAAAGCAAAAACTTTTCATAAATCAAAAAACAAAACAAACAAACAAAAAAGAAGAAATAGAAATAGTTAATCAAACATTGAAACATTTCCAAATTTATATTACATTTTCAGAAAATTCAAAAATATTTTTAAAACATGAAGTATTTTACGAAATGGAAAGAACATTAAAAAAACATTTTGCTAAATTATTCACAGTATTGAAAAATATCTTACAAAATGAAAAATGTAAAAAAAAAAAATAAATAAACAAACAGGAAACTCTGAACAAACAAACTCAACAAGATAAAAAATATCTAATAAAAGGCAAAATTGTTTACCAAAGTATTTCATGTGACAGCAAAAATGTTTAATGAAATGCACAACAATGTAAAAATTTTAAAAGATTTAAAAACGTGAAATTCAAAAACAATTTACTAGTCACAATCACAGGAACATGTCATAAAACACAAACTATTCCAAAAGAAAAACAACAACAAAAAAAATTAGTTACACAAAATGCCAAAAAATTTCACAAAGATTTAAAATATGGTATGAAAGAAAAAAAGCACAAAAACAAGAAACTGAAAAAATATTTTTCCAAAAGCAAAAATATCCCATATCAAAAGATAAAGACCAAAGCCAAAAAATTACAGACTGGTTGAATGCACACAAAAACCACAAGAAGCAAAAGTGTTTTATGAAACCCCAAAATACTCTATGAAATGTAAAAATGATAAATAAAAGACAAAGTTGTTATTAACAAATTGCACAAATCTACGGCAAACTCAAAAAACAGTATTTGACTTCACTAAGTGCAAAATGAGTGTCCCAGCTCATCAGCAGTGTCACAAAGAAAGCATTTCAGCAAATAGAAAAAAATTTCCCATTAAAAAAAAAAATCTTTTCTTTAGGAAATACAAAACCATTTATGTGTTTAAGAGTTTTTTTAGTTCTTCAAACTTTTTGGGTTTCATTATTTTTGCATTCTTACAGAAAGTCTCCATTGGTCATAAAACATGATTAATGTTCAGTAAATGTCTTTGTGTTCAAGAAATGTTTATGCAGATGACCTTTCAGGGCCGCCGTAACGAAATGTGTTTTCAGTCTCTCCTCCAAATACAAGAAGATGGTGAACACAAATGTTCTTGGTGGTAGTTTAATCACTTTATCTAACATTTATCAAAACTCCATGTCAAACATTAACCCGATGATTCTGTGGTCATGTTTTGACCTTTGAGTAATATTTAGCGAGTCTGTTGTCCTGACCCAAATTCCTGCACACTCCATGTCATCCTAACTGAGCTTGCAGCTATGCAAAGCAGCTCAGAAAGTGTGGCCTCCTGAGCAGACGGCTATCATTTATTTACCAGCGTTCATGTGAAGTATGTGTATGTTGCTTTCCTTAATTGTCCTCAGGCAGTTTTCAAGGCCTTGAGGACATTCCAGTCTGGTCTGTAATGCATGAGGAGCGCATTAAAAACAGAGCTCTTGTTCTCTGTTGCTCAACCTTTGCACAGCTCTGTTTTTTTATCAGTGCTCTGGGTCTGCTGACAAACCTCAAAGAGGAGCATACAGGTCATTCATGACCTCAGAGCACACATCTGCAGCCTTGAGGCATGCAAACTCTTAATGAGGACAGATAGGAGCAGATAAAAGTGCTTCAAAGTTAGACCAAAGATTCAGTTTTTCACCACTTAGAGGATGCAAACAAAACACACCTGCAGCTCCTTAGACTCTATAAAAATCAGAGTGTATCAGATTTCGAATGAAGTTCTGCTCTAGAGGAGGGGGTTTGTCCGTATTGTTCTGTAGGTGAAGGAGGATCAATCTCCCAGTGGCAATCAGCATGATTAGGAGACTGGGCGAGCACTTGTTTGCTAAAACCTCCTTCTAATCCTAAGAGTGCCTGAGTAGCTCCTCAGATACAAACAACAATGTCCCTGCTCTAACAGCGAGGCCCAGTCCGACCGGTTTGACAGCTTCTCTTTTTGTCTGTGCCACACAGTGACAGCCTTCAGCCTGCAGCCCACAGGACACACAAAGGACGCTTTGAGTCCCTGCTGCTGCATGCTATCCTCAGGTCAATGAAGGCTACAGTCTAATGGCTGTTTATGTACTCTGCAGATGTTTGAGAATGATAACATCTTTGGTTCAGGGTCAGTGGATGCATTAAGTTGCACAGCAGGTTTTGCAGAGGATGTCAGGCTGCTTTCTTTTCTTTTATTTCAGAGATACTTAAATCTCCACTTCCTGTTTTTAATATGTTTATCAAGTTTTGGCAGTAAAGTTTGTGTTTTCTGGAGACATTTTAGAATGATAACATTGTGGGATCACAGTCACACCACACTTTAAATTGCAGGGGACCATTTTTGTTGCTTTTTTTTGCAATGTTGAAAGTGGCCATAAAATATTGCAATATCTATGAAAATTTTTAAATAAAACAACAAAATCAGTCAAACTGGGACATGGCAAAATAAGGGTGGAGTAGCACATCACTTGTGAAGCTTTTCTAATAAAAACAATTAACTTACATATTTAATCCATCTCTAAAAATGTATCTATGCCTTAGCTATTTTTTATCTTGTTTTCTGGTAGTCTTAAAACAAGCTTTGTAAAGCAATGCTTTAGCTTTGACATAGATGCTACATTGAAAAGATTGTAAACTGATGAACTGAATGAAAACACAAATAACAGTTAAACAGTAAAAATGTTCTAATATAATCAACTCACAGAAAGCTGCTATTGCTAGCTCGCTAGCAGCTGTTTCTTCTTCTTCTTCTTCTTTTCTTCTTCTCCGTTTTCTAAAACAGTATAATCAGTATCGACCACTTTTATAGACTCATAATATTGCCTGTTGTGTGTTTATTTTTTTATTTTTATGTCAATTTATCAAAAGATGGTTATCGTGGATGTCAGTATATCGTGACAGCCCTTATTGAAATCTAAAGATTCTGTTACTTGTATCGTTTCTGAACCATTTGGTGACAGTTTCATTCTATCTAAACTTTATGGAGTTTAAGTTTTTAAGGGTGGTCACCTAACACTTAGTCAGATATCGAAGTTTATGTCAGTAGTAGTTTTGTTCATTTAGTTATCACTTCTGTTTAAAAGTTTTATGGTATTTAAAAGGTACGGTTGGGAAACAGGCTTGTACTGATACTGTGACCCCTCTTTTTGTCTTTCAAAAGCAAACAAGATCATCTATAATGAGTCTAATAACTTAAACTATCATTTGTATTGCTTAAATACACTGTGAGGTTGTAGGTGTAGCAAATACACCAAGTGAGTGATAAATGTCACAGTTAAAAGAAACTAGGGTGAGGTTCTCTTCTGACAATACAACTTTCACTTATGTAGAATAAGAGCTGTCACTTTGCCCACAGGGGACACCCAAATCAACAAAAACCAAAAGTCCTCCTCTGTAGCTTTTGACACTTATGAAAGTGTTTATATGAGCTTTTTAGCGATAAAGTCAGCTGGTTCAGGGTCAGCAGGTGTCTAAATTTGCATGACAGAATCAACTCTTCTCTTAGACATTTCTAATGATAATCCATGATTTTTACTTTTGTTTTTCTTAGTTGGTGGGTTAAAAACATGCCAAATGTTGCCCTGCAGAATCTGGAGACAATGACAGTGGCTTTTTTTCCCCCAAGGTGTTGAAATAGCTATTTTTTCTTTTTGTTAACTTTATCATTTTTAAAAGCTTGGATGACATGTTTTAAAGCTTTTGGAGGGGCAATCCAGTCTCTTTCTTTAGACATGTGACAAACAACACTTTCCATCTTAGCTTTGATAAATTAAAGATCCAAAAAAAAAAAAAAAAGTTCATAGAGATTAAATATCCTTATTTCAGATGCCTCTAGTCCCACCAGATATGGTGGCAAAAAGCTAAGTCAATGCTAAAATCACAACCACTGTGTGTTGGCTAAAGCTCCTGTGAGGAACTTTTAGGCAATTTAGGCGTCACTTTTTTCTTTCTTTAAAAGCTGAAGTAGTGTCCCTGGTCAAAAAATCTTATCCTACTTTTGACAGTTATATGTTACATGGAGTTCCATTTCTGTCCTGCAGACAGAGTCAAACTTCAGGAAAAGCTTATTTACAGGTTGAGTAAGTGCAAACGGAGCAGAGGACCTATTTTTCTTTTAGATCCATGCATGGAAATTTTGTCTCATGAAAAATGTCTCATGTGAGGATTTTGCAAAGATTTAGCCATTTCTTGCATTATTTTGAGGCATAAGACCACCACACTGCTTTTCTTGTTTTGTTTTGTTTTAAATTTCATCCATTTAAATCAGCCCCTCCCCGAGGCCGTTTAATGAAAAAAACACTGCTGATTGAGGGGGGAAACAGCTTGAACCTTTCACATTCAGGTCTGTTTTAAATATGTAAACAGCTGTGGCTCTGAGCAATATGGACTTACTTTACCCCTGAGGATGAATCAGCATATCAGTGCCTCATGCAACACCATATACCTCTGTCTACATATCTAAATCCTGGCCTCTTGTTTGCTGCTCAGGCACCTTTATGGCTCCAGACAGGCAGCGAAGGAATGACTCACACACAATTCATAGAGTTCAACCTCTCAAGGTCTCATGGGCTATGACTTTCCCACAGATCATTCATGATTTAAAGCTTCTTTTTTGGACAGGAGATGGTTTTTAAAAAGAAAAAGGAAACTAAAAAGTGAAAAGAAGACACTTTAACACTCAAAGCCTTAAAAAAACAGGACAAAGTTGGATTAAAAGTATGCTTGGAGGTGTTTTTTAAACTCATTTCTTCTATCTTGTGCATAATTTTAAAGATAAGTATGTGTCTGTAACTTACTTGTCATCCACATGAAGGCAGGGAGGGCACTTGATAGCCAGACATGTTTTCCATTGTACGTGCCGCACTTTGTATACCTGTCCAAATCCACCTGAGCCTATTTTCTCCCAGCTGCCAAACTCAGAGCAGTCAAAGGTCCGTAACAGCCCCATGTTCCCGTGAGGAGAATCCGGGACGTCCATATCTGTGTTGGGAAACCCAGCAGCTGTGTGAAATCCTTTTGTACCCGTCTCCAGAACACAATCTGAGCAGTGAACACACACCACCACCACCAACCTGCCCGTATGTGAGCGCTTCCTTGTTTTTCCCCTTGACAAGCTCACACTGAGGCCCCTCCCTCTCCTCAGGTGAAAAAAGAGGTGGGGTTTGCTTCTGTGATGTCACTTCCTGGTGTTGAAACACAGGGGAGAAGTGGAAAACACAGCCAGAGAAGCCACGCTGCCACAGTTTGTTTGCCCTAAAGTGCCAAAGTTTCTCACATTTCTGCAGAGAAAAGGAGACAATGATGAGTGTCCTGATCAGCAGAGAGAGAGCTCAGGAATGTGTTGTTACATAAACACACCATTGTCCTGCTTTAGAGAGGAGTCCGACTGAAGCACCCGAGGTAAGAGAAGGGGACATGAGAGGACAAAAGAGGAGTTATGTGATATTGAACAGGTGGTTTGGAAATCTGTGGACTCATACACTCAGAAAAGAGGATCATCATGCAGTAGCCCTGTGTCCTTACTTGTGTCAAATTTGCCTTTAGCAGCTCACTAGAGTCAAAAACTTTTGTTGAGACATCCTTAGGACCCCAAACACAGAGAGTTTTACTGCACACGTTTTGTTTTCAATCTCAATTTCAAACAAAAAAGTAAAAAAAAAAAAAAATACAGATGCTCTAAGTCTGATGGGACCCTCCCAGAAAGACCAAATAATGCATCAAACAACAATGAAAGCTGTGAGACTCTTTTGGCCGGTGTGGATTTTGGTGGCCCCTGTGGACAAAGAAAAACCTCTTACCTCTCGTCCTTTCTCCCTGATGAAAAAACTCACCTTGTTTCCCTTTAACAATAAAAATTCAAAGTCATTGTTAGTATTTTCTCTGTTAGAAAATTAAAAGGCTCTATTTTGAGCCTGCTCTCAATCATCTGGTATGATACCTTCCCCCTCCACAGGACCTTTAATCATTAAACTAATGATCAGACTCATCCCTGATGGCCTTGTTTACTTTTGAAGGATATAAGGAGGCATCAGTTCAGTCTGCTGAAACTCCCCTGCTGTCTTTAACCATCAGGGTCCTTAAAGTAGGCTGATATTTTTTTCTTTCGATAAGTTGGGACCATAGACTGTATCTAGAATGAACGCCGTCTGCTTCCTCAATTGGTGAAGCCACTCTGAGAACAGCACCCTCTATCGAAGGGCTGCAGTATAGGTCATAAATCCCGCCTCCGCCAGCAAAGCTTATGGAGCTGTGGACAAACTTTAGAAATTTATTACACATAACATACATTTTTCTCCCCCCTGCTTGCTTGCGATGTTGACATGTAGTTACTGTAAGATTGATTTGTGCTCCAGTCATCTTTTTTTCTGTGGAGCTCCATTTTTAAAAGTTATTAGGGGGTTCATGTTTACTATGATTGACACTTGACACAGCCTATGGCTGTACAAAGATTGTGTAGCTCACCCGGGGGGGATATGCTGTTTGAGCCGAGCGTCATCACAGCGACTCTCAGCGATTCACCCACCGAGTGCGTACAATGCTACTGCGCAATGTTGGTTTTCAGGAAGTGGAGAAAAAATGCAGAATTACTGAGAGCTTTTCGGCTTCAAAGCCGTATACTGGCAGAAAGCGGAACCAAGTTGTCTATAGTACAATCTATGGTCGGGACGGTGTGTGAGTTGTTGATAAAACCTGATTTTAATGATTTAAAAATAATCAAAGCCCTTTAATAAATTTTAAAATACTTCAAAGACAACATATCATTTATCACATTTGATCTAAATACTATGCCGCCAATGTAAAAAGTTGCAAAGCTGCCTGTAATTCTCTCACAACAATAACAGTTCATATTTTTCCTTTTTAATATCAAATGCTGAAACTGACAAACTTAAAATATGAGCTCACATTAAAATTAATCTAAGCAAGATGTTTCGAAGAAGTGCAGAAACAACAAAACATTAAAAAGTATTTGCAATGCCAAAAAATAAAAAAAACACAATATCTGGAGGATATTGAACTGTCAACAGATTTATAACATGATTGGGTATAAAATGTTACATTTACAGAGACTGAGTCTCTCTGAAGAGACTGCATGAGAAATAAATTCAATAACTTCAGATTTCTGTTTCTCAGAAAACTGCAACAACAAAGGGGGGGATTTCATTATATTCATGACATGATATAAAAAAGTCAGAGAATCTGCATCTCTGTAGCACTGCATTAAAGGCAGGAATGACTCCATAGTGGATCTCTGCATGGACTCTAAATCAGCTCTTAAAACCATTGTCTGTAAACACACTTCATCACTGAATTCATAAATGCAGGTTTAAAGTATATCACCATCAATATAACCATATACAATATAAACAGGAACCAGAAAAAACGCCAACTTCTATGTTGGGCTGAGGCCAAGAGGGGAACTGTTATGTGGTTAGACGGATTCAATTTAGACCTTGTTTTGGAAATCATGGAAGCAGCATCTCCCAATGACTTTTTCAGAGAAGACCTCTCACAGTTCAGAAAGGTCATGCTAAACCCTGTTCTTAACTTTAAACAGTATGGACAGGTAGGAAAGGAGTCCAGGTGTTGAACTGGCCTCTCATTGTCTTGACTTATCACATATTGTAAACATCTGGTACATCATGAATCAAAAAGTACAACAAAGGCGACCCCCTAAACTGTAGATCAGCTGAAATACCATATCAGGCAGATACTCGAGGAGCTTCAGGAACCGGTCTCCTGGGTTCACAAATGCTTACAGTGTTAAAAGAAGAGGTAAATGATAAAACATGTCCCAGTCCCAACTGTTTTGAAACCTGTTGCTGGCATCAAATTCAAAATGATCAACCACAGAGCCAGCCTTTTTCACCAGTTTGTTTAGACGTCTTGCATCTTTATGTTTGATGGCACCACATCAGTAATTATTATTGTTGACAACTTGGGATTTTCCAGCTAAGTTCACCAGCTCTCACTGCTGTTTTCAAGTATCAACTCAGAGAACAAAAAGCAGTCCTCACGCTGGAAGTGATTAATTTTTATTATTTTATGTTATCTGTCATAACTTATAACATAATATTAGTGTAGCAGCCCATACCAAGAACATCAGGATGATCTGTTTGTTTTGGCTGACATGAATGGACTAAAGGGAATTCCTGGAACACATCAGACTCACAGCTCAGAGTGAACTGTACATCAAACTGATGCCAGTATTATGAAACCAGGCATGGCTGCAGCGATCTACGAGCATTCCCAAGAAAAATGCTCTGCTGTGACCTGCTGAAGTCAGACTATAAGTTAAAATGTCACTCATTTACATCTGCAAGGCCTCTGACTCCACATCAGCAGATACACTGTCAGACCTTGAGGATGGTGCATGAACTGCTCAGGAGCAGAAGGAGGTTCACGGGAAGGTTTTATTTTTGATTTATTTAAACAGCCATAAGAAAATTCCTCACGATATATTCATCACCTTCCTCCATCTTTAACATGTTCTTTTTAATTAACACTTTCATGAGATTTTTACTGGTTTTCAGACTAAAACTAGTTGGTGATATGATCTCAAAGAAGGTAAAGTGAGGTGGACCAAGAGATGGAGCACACTGGATCATAGACATGAATAAATGGTGTCAGTGAAGTCTCCTATTTGTTGTGAAGCAGACTTTTAAAGTCTATCAGCAGTGGTCAAAATATTGGAGAAGCTGATTCAGCCTAACTTTTGGTTGTGTGCTCACCTGTCAGTCAAGTCAGCCGTGCCTAAGATTCGCCAATCTTATAACCTTAATAATTTGAAACAAAAAAGTTACAGAAACACTGTGGGAGCTGTGGGAACCATGAGCAATTCAGATCAGAACTGTTTTTAGGCAGTAGCAGTTCTAGGCACGGGCGAACAGGGCAGCCGCCCGGGGCGGCATTTGTGTCATGGCTCGTGGGGGGCGGCACAAGCACTTCCAAAAAAATAAAATAAAAGATAATAATAATAATAAATCTGCGCCGCAATGCAGTTTTGTATTAACTCTCGTTGTCAAATTGGCGCCCCCTGCTGCTGTAGGCACCCCTGCTTGCTGCAAAGGTGCCGCACAGAGGCTGACAGACTGTATGAGACGAAACGGGGAGGGGGTCGCGGGGGACAGCTCTGCTCTCAGGATTGCTCTCACTCTGCCAGTCACGGTGGCTCAAGTAGAGAGGAGCTTCTCAAATCTGAAGTTGATAAAGTCGTACCTAAGGTCAACCATGTCTCAGGAACGGCTCACTGGCCTTGTCGTCATCAATCACTTAACCCATTTAAACCGGGAAAGTATGTCGGCATATCAGCCTTCCAAGCCGAGAGTGCGGATACGTCATTTTGTAACATTCTGTAGTTTTTTAATCATTTCTCGAGTCGTGGCGAATCAAATCATCATACCAGTGTGCCTCTGATAAGCTAATAAAGCGATCTGATTCATGCTTGGATCTTGGAGGGGGCGGGCTTGGAGGGGGTCTTGCCCTGGGAATAATTTAGTCTAGAACCGCCACTGTTTTTAGGAACCGGGCTTTAAATGCATTTACTAAATAAAGTTCTTGTATTGTATTGTATTTTTGCCTTATAAACAGTCTTTCTTTTGGCTTAGTTTGAACATCGTTTATGATGCTTCTGCAGACAGCCTAAGGTGGACACTCAGGGAACTGCAGTTTAGCATTTTTACAGCAGCTGTTTCACTTCACAAGACTGGAGTTCAGTGTTTGGTCTGGATGTGTGCATGATGGCTCAATCTCGTGTTGTTAAAATGTCTTGGTTTTCTAAGTCTTTTGGATCATTTTTTGGCTAGACAATGTGTGTGGTCTATTGTAAATTATAAAGGAAATAAAACAAATGCAAATAAATAAAATATGCTTGTGTATCACTCTTCACTTTCACAGTCATGTGCTTTTACTTGGTGATTAGAATAATAATTTCAGGGTAGAACCTTCAGAAAACTATCTAATTCACATTGAAAAAACTGATTTATTTACATCTTAAACACTAATTGCTCTGTGCACACACACATACACTCAACCACATTGACACAGAGGAAGAGAAGGGAGGAGACGTTCTGTAATATCTCTTGTCA